GTGTGCTGGGGCCTCTTATGTTGGCAATTGGAGGCTGTAGGGGTTCTGGCACCTTACGTCATGTTAGGCTGTAATCAGCAAGGCTGGAACTTTCAGGCAATTCTAGGTTGTCTGCTTTTACTTTCCTTTAGCTTTCTTCAGCTCCTTTTAGATGGGTGCTGCAGGGTGTTTATCTGCCTGGGGCCCCTTGCTGTGCTGCCTCTCTTAGTTAGGCTAAGTCACTGGGAGACTTCTTTTCTGTAGAATGCTGAGGCACCTGGCAGTTTTCTGAACTGATTTCCTGAGCTGGTTTCCACAGTTTCCTCCGCCCTCACTGAAGCACTTGGAGGTTCAGGTGTTGCTTTACTACCTGGGTTTCAGGATCTCCTCCTGGTTGGCAGTTGGAGGCTGTAGGGTTCTGACAGCTTACCTTGTGTTGGGCTGGAATCAGCAAGGCTGGGACTCTCGGGCAATTCTAGGTGGCCTGCTTTTCCTTTCCTGTAGCTTTCTTCAGCTCCTTTCAGATGAGTGCTGCAGGGTGTTTATCCACCTAGGGCCCTTCGTAGTGCCACTTCCCTTATTTTTGCTGAGGCACTGGGAGACTCCTGTGCTGTAGAATGCTGAGGCACCTCTTCCTGGCGTGCTAAAGTGGGGCTTTCTGCTAGCTGGCTGGGTGCCCCCCATTCAGTAGTGCTCCCCTTCCCCCCAGGGTAAGAGGGGCCCTTCCCATTAATCCCTCAAGCTACTCAGGCCACTCTACCACTGCTCCCCATCTTCCTTCTGGTTCAGCTGTTCCAGGGTTTTTCCTGGGGAGATATTTTCTGGGCTTTTAGAGGTAGATAGGTGAGATTGAGAGCGACTACCTTTTTACTCTACCATCTTGGCTCCCCCACATGGACTATTTGTGCCCAACCTGTGGTAGAACATTCTGAGATCACATTGGTCTCATCAGCCACAGTCAGATACACTGCACCTCGACTCTAACATAGAGATGCCTTTTTGGTCCTCTTTGAGAACAAATCACAACCATTCTCTCTGCTTCAAATGTGTTTCTTGTAAACAACATATTGCAGGATTCTGGGTTTTAATCCACTCTGCTACCGGCTTCTGTGATATGGGAGAGTTCATCCCATTCACATTCACAGTTCTGATTACTGTTTATTTCCCTCCATTCCATTTTCTCCCTGTTTATACTTTTCTCTCTCTCTCTTTTCACCCAGTCCCTCCTCACCAATGTTTTGCTTCTGACCACTGCCTCCCTCAGTCTGCCCCCTCTTCTATCAGCCCTGCCCTTTTCTTTCCCCTTCCCCTCCTCCATCCCCATAGGGTAAGACTGATTTCTATACCCAGCTGAATGTGTTTGTTATTCCCTCTTTAAGTTAAATCCAAGGAGGGTGAGGTTACAACAATACTCACCACTACCCCCCTTCTTTCCCTCTACTGTAATAGGTCTTTCTTGCCTCTTTACACGATAAAATTTACCCCATTCTGCCTCCCCTTCCCCCTTCTCCCAGTACAATTCTCTTTTTCACTCCATAATTTTTTTTATATCATCACATCAAAGTCAACTTATACCTGCCCCTCTGTCTATGTATACTCCTTCTAATCGCCATAATAGAGATAAAGTTCTGAAGAGTTACAAGTATCATCTTCCCATGTAAGGATGTATATAGTCAACCAGATTGAATGATATTTTTTTCCTTCTTGTTTACCTTCTTATGCTTCTCCTGAGTCTTGTATTTGACAACTGAATTTTCTGTTCAGCTCTGGTCTTTTAATCAGGAAAGTTTGAAAGTCCCCTATTTCACTAAATATTCATTTTTCCCCCTTCAAGATTATGCTCATTTTTGCTAGGTAGTTGATTCTTGGTTGTAATCCAAGTTCCTTTGCCGTCTGGAATATCATATTCCAAGCCCTCCAGTCCTTTAATGTAGAAGCTGCTAAATTCTGTGTAATCCTGATTGTTGCTTCTTGACGTTTGAATTGTGTATTTCTGGTTGTTTGCAGTATTTTCTCCTTGACCTGATAATTCTGGGATTTGGCTACAATATTCCTTGGAGTTTCCATTTGGGGATCTCTTTCAGGAGGTGATCAGTGGATTCTTTCAATGACGATTTTACCTTTTGGTTCTAGAATCTCAGGGCAGTTTTCCTTGATAACTTCTTGAAGGATGCTATCCAGGCCTTTCCTTTTTTTTTTTATCATGGCTTTCAGGTAGTCCAATAATTCCTAAAATATCTTTCCTGGATCTAATTTTCCAGACCAGTTATTTTTCCCATGAGGAATTTTACATTTTCGTCTATTTTTTCATCCTTCTGTTTTTGTTTAATTGAGTCTTGATGTCTCGTAGAGTCATTAGCTTCCACTTGCTCAATTCTAATTTTTAAGGTATTATTTTCTTTAGTGAGCTTTTGTACCTCCTTTTTCATTCGGCCAATTCTGCTTTTTAAGGAGCTGTCTTCTTTCTCCAAGCTGTTGACTCTTTTTTCATGATTCTCTTGCATCATTTTCATTTCTTTTCCCAATTTTTCTTCTACCTCACTTATTTGATTTTAAAAATGCTTTTTGAGCTCTTCCAAGAGGACCTTTTGGGCTTGAGACCAATCCACATTCCTCTCTGAGGCTTTGCATGTACACATTCTGACACAGCAGTTCTCTCTGAGTCGGTGTTTTGATCTTCCCTGTTGCCATCATGGCTTCCTATGGTCAGCGCTTTGTTGTTGCTACTGTTGTTTTCTGCTCATTTTCCAGCCTGATCTGTGACTTTTAAAGTGGAACTCTGCTCTGGGGCATACAGGGCACTGTCTCAAACCTTTGGCACTGGGGCCTCAGAACTGGCATCTTGCCCAGTGCACTGGGGGGCCCCCAGTCTAGTCACACCTCTCGTGCTGGGGTTCTGGGGCTGGCAGTTTGCTTGCTGTGCTGAGGCTAGAGGCCTCATAGCTGGCTTGCTGAGCTGCCGGCCTACTGAGTCAGGACTGCAGGGCCTTGGTTGCTGATCTGTCCTGTGGCTAAGAGTCTCCTGCTGGCTTGTTCAGACACGGTCTGTGCTGGGCTACACTCCCCTTTTACTCAAGTGAGACAGACCTTTCCTACAGTCCTTCTAAGTTACTTTGGGCTGTAAAATGTTCTGTCTCATCCTCTTGTTTTGCTAGGCAATGGGGTTAAGTGACTTGCCCAGGGTCACACAGCTAGTAAATATCAAGTATCTGAGGCTGGATTTGTACTCAGGTCCTCCTGGCTACAGGGCTGGTGCTCTATCCTTTTGCCATTGACGTCAATCTTAATTTTTCCAAACACCCAGCCAAAGAAGAGGTTTTGAATGTCACTGGGCTCCTCTCATGTGGCAAAGCTCCTGGTGCTAATTCTATTCTAGCTGAGATTTACAAGGTAGTGGTCCACTGCTCATAAAAATGCTGACTGAAATTTCCAGGTTATATGATAAGAGGAGGCTATCCCCCTGGAGTTCAAGGATGCCCCCATTGTCCATCTCTATCAATGAAAAGTAAATAGATTGTCCCGTGACAATCACAAGGGCTGGGGGTGGGAGGTCTCTCTCTTAGCCATTGTTGGCAAGATTGTTGCTAGAGTCCTCCTTAGTAGGCTAATCCTTCACCCAGAATATCTACCCTAGAGCCAGCGTGACATCAGAAAGGGCTGAGGAACAGTTGACATGGTGTTTGTTACCTGACAACTCTAGAAGAAATGCAGGAGCAGAACAGAGGTCCGCACACAATGTTTGTTGATCTGAGCAAGGTCTCTGATGCTGTCAGTCATGAGGGCTTGTGGGAAATTATGGAAACATTTGGTTGCCCAGAGAAGTTCACCAGTATTGTACATCAGTTCCATGACGGCATACTTGCCTGGTCTCTGGATAACGGATGATGCTCTCACACTTTCCCAGTCACAATGGAGAGAAGCAAGGCTGTGGGCTTACTCACATGCTTTTTAGCATAATGTTTTCAGTGATGTTGTCAGAAGCCTTCCAGGAGGATGAAAATGGCATCAAGATCAGCTACCACTGATGGCAAACTATGTAACCGGAAAAGGCTATGAGCCAAGACCAAAATGGACAGAGAGCTGGCGCATGAGTTTTTGTTGGCAGGGGATTGTGCATTCAATGTAGCCTCTATGGCTGAGAGGCGACAAAGCATGGATCAATTCTCTGCCACTTGTGTTAATTCTGTCCTGACAATTAACACCAAGAAAACATAGGTTCTCCACCAGCCGGCACCACACGACTGGCTACGGCAAACGGAGAACTACTGAACGTTGTGGATAAGTTCCCTTCCCCTAGCAGTATACTTTTCAGGGATGTACATGTTGATGGTGAGATTGATGTATGCATCACCAGGGCTAGCTCAGTGTTTGGGAGGCGCCAAAGGAAAGTGTGGGAGAGAAGAGGGATTAGACTGCCTCACAAACTGAAGGTCTACAGAGCCCTTGTGCTGACCTCATTGTTGTATGCTGTGAAACGTGGACGGTCTACCAATGCCATGCCAGGAAAGTAAATCACTTCCATGTGAATTGTCTTAGGAAGATTTTGAAAATCACCTAGCAAGATAAAGTACTGGACACTGAGGTCCTCTCTCTGAACTGCCCAACATTCAAACTCTCTGCAGAGAGCACAACTCTGATGGACTGTCCCTGTTGTTCAAATGTCAAAATATGTTTGCATAAAAAACTATTTTATGCAGAACTCACGCAAGGCAAGTGCTCCTACAGACGTCAGAAGATGTGACACAAGGACACTCTTAAGGTCTCTCTGAAAAACTTTGGAATCAATTGGGTGACATGGGAGACTCTGGCACAGCACCATCCACATGGCATGCCCACACCAAAGGAAGTGCTGCGCTCTCTGAGTGAAGCAGAACTGAGGTAGCTAAAAAAAAAAAAGGTGAGATGTGTGAATTTTGAGTCATCTCCACTCTAAATGTTCACATGGACTCTTTGTGCCTGACCTGGGGCAGAGCCCTCTGAGCTCATACTGGTCTGATCAGCCACAGCCAGACGCACCGTACCTTCACTCCAACGTAGTGATGCCACTGTGGTCCTTCTTGAGCTTGAAGGACAACAATCAATAACCTGGGCAAGTTAATTTCTCTGAGCCTCAGTTTATGCACCTGCAAAATGGGGATCCATAATAACTGTAAATTAAAAGCCAGAAGTTCACAGGAAACAGAACCAGTGGTAAAATCTCTGGCCTTAGGTGTCTATATACAAAGGCACAAAACATGGCTAAAACATCAAGATGAACTAGGAATCTTAATGTAAGGGGGAATGCTGGTCAAACCTGTGATTAGAATCTGGCTCTGGAAAGGCACAACCGATGTAAAACACGTACATGCACACTTCTAACAGCACAGCTAAAAAGCAGGGGATGGGGTGCAACACTGTGAATTGAGAAGATATACTTAGAAGTAGAGGCATTAATGATTCAGCAATCAGGTTGCAAACCTGGCTGAAGCATGCTCCAGTAGACAGGGAGGGCTTCAATTAGCTGGGAACCTGGTGGAGGGAGCTCTCTGCTGAAAGCAGAGGAGAGAATTTTTTTATTAGTCCCAATGAACATTTTATTTTTCAAAAGGTAGAGGTACCAGTGTGAGGCAAACTCTGGATCTGACTTTCACCTACAAGGAGAAAATGGTTGCTGGAGTGGAAATGAAGTGATCCTTCTAAGAGTCCATGATGGAGCAACAAAGGAACTCTGGGAATCATTAGACATTTTGTTTTCAAAATTCTGAACTTAAATACCAAATAAAACGAGCAATTCCATGTATGCTGTGGAACTGCAGAGGTCGTACATGAAACTGAGAACCTCTATTATGTAAAGCTCGTTTTTATTTTTAAGGATATAATCAGTTGGAATGCAACTTTAAAAGCTTTTCTGCCCGTCTATAACATTCACTATATTTTTTAAGATTAAGATTTATTTTATTTTCAGGTCTTCTTTCTCTCCCCCTCACCTGTTCCCTTATTGAGAAAGAAAGAATACATGTTCATTTGCATTCTGAGTTCCCCTTCCTCTCTCTCAGGAGCCACCCTAGCTTTGTGAAAGAACAGAGTTCAAAAGGGTGTAAGGAAGAGATGGCAATATTCCAGAGACTCCAATTCTGCAGAGAAAATCAGCCCAAGAAGGATGGGAAGCTCTTAAGGATTAACTTTTAAAGGGCCACAGAAAAACAATTCTTTGAGGAGGAAAAAAGAAATTGTCTGGAGAGAGATGTGGCTGCACAGTTTGTCCTAAGAGGACTGTTACATAATATTTCTACAGCGCTTTAAAGCTTGCAAAGCACTCGACCTACGTTACCTCATTTGAGAAATTGTATATTTTTTGGAAAAGGGTCTGGACCAGCGATTTTATTGGGATAGGGGCTCAGGTGGGGACTCCTCCAGCAGTACAGAGCACCCCCAAATGGGCAGCTTAGGCTCTTCAGTTGCCTGGAGCAGGGAAGAGTGACCAGCGCTGGCCTCACCCAGCTAGGATTAGGTAGGGTTTTTTTGCACCCAAGCCTTCCTGTCTGTCTACCTTAAGGCAGGTGAAAGTGGGCTGACCTGAGTTTAGAGAGGGTCTCAGGCACTTACTGGTTGAGTGACCCTAGGCGAGGGAGTTAAACTCTTTGCCTCCATTTCCCCGTCTGTAAAACGTGGATGACAACAGTAGCGTTTGCCTGCCAGAGCCTCCAGCGAGATGATCTCCGTAAAGCGCTTTGCACCGGGCGGGGCACACAGTAAACGTAATGTAAACGGGAGCTATTTTTCGCTGTCATTCCCGCTGTAGCCAGTAGGGGCTGAGGCAAAAGTGAGCAGACAAGATCCAGCCCGGGGCATGCGCTCTCGCTCTTCCCCTGCGGCATTTCCCATGAAGCCCAGGGCGCTGTCTCTAGGCAGGCTCTGGGGCTGTCTAATGCGCAGTTTTCTTGGTTTATGTAAGCGCTTATGTAAACGTGTTTTCTAAAACTCTACCGCTAGGAGGGGTTAGGCATAGCGCTCCACCTCACGCATGCTCCTTGGCAGACTGAAGGCAGACATGCGCAAAGAGGAAGTTTCACAGCCCGTCCCCTTCTTCGCGCGCATTCGCGAGGGCGCGACTGATGACGCTACAATTTGGCGACTAGCTCGAGCACTACGCATGCGCTCCTACTGATTGACAGGGCGAGCGTGAGCTGAGGAATCGTGGTTTCCGGCTCGGTCCCGCCCTGCGCACGCGCACAGATAACCAACAGAACCGGCGGGAACTATGGCGGCTGGTGTCTCTGGTCTCGGTGGTGGCCGGCGCTTCTTCAGGGGCTTCCTCGCCGGGGCCGTCATGGGTGCCGCTGGGGCCGGGCTCGCTGCCCGGAGGCTCCTCCGCAGCCAGGACGAAGACTCTGCTTCGAGGACCAGAAAGCCGTCAGGTAAAATTCCCAGCGGCCTGGGGGCTCCTTCCAGGCGGCGTGTCTGAGTGTGTGCGCTTGTGCGTGTGTTTGTGTACCGGTGCGTGCGGGTGTGTGCACTTGTGCATGCGGGTGTGCTTGCGTGTGCTTGTGCACAGGTGCGGGTGTGTGCACAGGTGTGTGCCGGTGTGGTAGCATGTGTTTGTGTGCATGCACGGATGCATGTTTGTGTCCCCAGGTGTGTGTGTGCTCACGTGTGCTTGTGCACAGGTGCGTGCATTTGTGTGTGCTCGCGTGTGCTTGTGCCCCGGTGCGTGCGGATGTGTGCACTTGTGTGTACTTGTGCACAGGTGAGGGTGTGTGCCGGTGTGGTAGCATGTTTGTGTGCATGCACGGATGCATGCTTGTGTCCCCAGGTGTGTGTGTGTGTGTGTGTGTGCTCACGTGTGCTTGTGCACAGGTGCGTGCGGGTGTGTGCACTTGTGCGTACATTTGTGCGCACATGTACTTGTGCACGGGTGTGTGTGTGTGTGTGCGCACAGGTGCGTGCAGGTGTGTGCCGGTGTGGTAGCGTGTTTGTGTGCGTGCACGGATGCATGCTTGTGTCCCCAGGTGTGTGTGTGTGTGCTCACGTGTGCTTGTGCACAGGTGCGTGCACTTTGTATGTGCTCGTGTGTACTTGTGCACAGGTGCGGGTGTGTGCTGGTGTGGTAGTGTGTGTTTGTGTGCATGCATGGATGCGTGCTTGTGTCCCCCGGTGTGTGTGTGTGTGTGTGCTCACGTGTGCTTGTGCACAGGTGTGTGCACTTGTGCGTACATTTGTGCACACATGTACTTGTGCACGGGTACGTGTGTGTGTGTGCGCACACAGGTGCGTGCGGGTGTGTGCCGGTGTGGTAGCGTGTGTTTGTGTGCGTGCATGGATGTGTGCTTGTGTCCCCGGGTGTGTGTGTGTGTGTGTGTTTGTGTGTGTGTGTGCTCGGGTGCATTGTGTGTGTGTGTGTGTGTGTGTGTGTGTTTGTGTGTGTGTGTGCTTGTGCATCCTTCCTTGCAGCCTTTCCGTTTCCTTCAGGTGGGCGTTCTTGCGCCCGTTTGTTCGGAGTGTGGCCATTCCTGCACTGAGGGTCCCCCTGTACACGTTCGTTCGTTCCTTCCTGCTCCACACGTTCATTCTGGATCTCATCCCTGCCCGGTTCAGGCGCGGTGATTCTCGCCCTGTGGTGCTTCCTTCCTGGCTGCGCTGGTGCTTGGCACCCGCTTCTCGGTGGTCTGGTGTCTTCCTTCTGACTCTGTTCCTGCCCGCGCTCGGAGCTGTCTCTTGGGCTTCCCGCGTTTGGCTTCATTGGAGCCCAGCATGCAGATCCAGAGTGGGGAGAGGAGTGACTTTGTGCCTTCTCTGCTGGTGGCATGGAGAGGGCAGCGGAACAAGCCTTGGTTTTGAGTGCCGCTGGGCCCCCCGTGTATCTGTGCAGGCAGAGTCTCGGGCCAGGCCCTCCTGGGGTTGATGCTCCAAGCGTGTCTGCTGAGGGGTTGCAATCTGCCAGAGTCAGGGAGGCCTTGACTGGTCACCTAGCTAGGTGATGGAGGTGGAGAAAAGTGTAGTCCTTTGAAAAGGAAGCGGTTGTTGCCATTGGGGAGCTCACAGTATACTGGGAGAGTTGGGGGGGGGTGACAGCGTTTGGCATAGCACCAGGATATTAGGGCCAAAAGAAAGTTCAGGAGGCAGTCTCTGGCCACCTTGGAGAAGGCTTTTGGCTGAGGAAAGCCCTGAGGCCAGGGGAGTTAGGAAGGGGTTCATTCCCTGGCTGGGCAGCAGGCTTCAAGAAAGCGCATGGGTGGGCTGGGGTGGCTTCTTCAGTCCGTCCACGACCTGGGCTCAGCATTTAGGGAAACAGAAGCAGAACACCTGGGAGGCTGGACTGGCATGCGGCCGGCACACCTAAGTGAATACCAGACAATTGAGGAGAGAGCATTAGTCGTTTGGAGGTGGGAAGCCTGTCCGTTTGGGCTGAGCACTGGGGGACACTAAGGAGTAAGTCCATTCCAGGCTGAGGGGCGTGTGTGCGGAGACAGAGGAAGGAGGTCCAGCTCAACAACTTAGGGGCGGGGTGTTAGTCATCAGACATTTTATTTAGCATTAACTTTGTGACTGTGGGCTCAGCACCAAGGAAACAGATCTAAGATGATTCCTCCAGGGGCTCACGTGTTAATGGGGAGGACAAGCAGACAAACAGCTGTGACATATAAGGGATACTCATGTCTCCCCATGCCTAGATATCTGACATATAGCTACATGTTTTATATATAGTGTGTGTATTAATCTCAGGGGGAAGGTGCTAGCATTGAGGGGACCACAAAGGGCTCTTTTCAGGAGGTGGGATTTGAGCTGAGACTTGGAGGAAGCCAAGAAGACCCGAAGGAGAGCCAGTGGAAAGACACAGAGTCTGGGGGACAGAGGAAGGCCAGGGTCACTGCACTGCACAGTACAAGCAGGGGGCTGGAAAGGGGCAGGCAGGAGAAGGTAGGAAGGGCTTTACACGTCACACAGGATTTTAGATTTGGTCCTGGAGCCGCTAGACTCTGTTGAATGGGGGGGGCGGGGTGTGCGGGGTGACTTGCTCACACCTGGGCTTTAGGGAGGACTCTGGCAGCTCAGTGGGGGATGAATTGGTGGGAAGAGCAGACCCCCCCCCCCAACAGCTACTGGAGTCATCCAGGGCGAGGTAATGGGGGTCTGTACCAGGGTGGGGCCACGGTCAGAGGTGAGATGGGGGCATGTTTGAGAGATGTGACAAAGGTAAAATGGACAGGCCTTCGCAGCAGATTGGCTGTTCGGGGAAGGTGTGAGATAAGGAGGGGTCGAGGTTGGCATCAAGGTCTTGAACCTGGTGAAGAGGGGAGGCCTCAGTTTGGGGCAGGATGAGTTTAAGATGTCTCCGAGCCATCAGAATGTCCAGGGGGCAGCCAGAGACACCAGACTGGAGGTCAGCAGAGACGTTAGGGCTGGAGAGGGAGATCTGAGAACCATCAGTAGAGAGATGGTGACTGAGTCCACAGGAGCTGGTGAGACCACCGAGAGAAATTACATGAAAGGGTATGGGCTGGAGGCAAAGTCAGCAAGGGGGACTGAGAAGGAGCCAATCCTGCCTCTGGGGAGAGCAGGAGTGGAGGGTGTGTCCAGGACAAGACGGCCCTCGACAGTGACCAAGGCTCAGCAAGGTCAAGGAGGAGGAGGACTGAGAAAAGGCCATTGGATTGGTGATTGAGAGGTAGGAGAGGCCGGCCCGAGGGTGTAGGGGAGGACTGTCAAGGTTCCTCTGTGGCTTATCTCCCAGGCAGCAGCCAACTACTGTAGATCTCAGAGCAGAGGAGAATTCTTTTGGCAGCCAGGGAGCCTGGGTTGGAGATTGGAGAACAAAGGCCTGGCTGTTACAGCAGTCCCAGGGAGAGCTTCTCCTGGCGTGGTCGCCCCCTCCCCAAACCCTGTTCTATGTAGGCCGGTTTCTACTGACTTTGTTGTGTGGAGCAACCCATAAGCACCTTGTGCTAAGCTATAGAGCACAAATCAGAGTGGAGCAAAATTAGTGAGCCTCGAGATAGATTGGCTAGGAATTCATGGCGATTAAACAAGCATAGAACATTAGCACCTATTCCCCAACATTACTTCTCCCTTAAATGGACAAAATAAAGTGGTTGATGCCGGGGGGGGGGCACGCACCCAGGAAGGTGAGGCAATTAGGGAGGTTATAGAAGCTGGGCCCAGAACTGGTGAGGAGAAGGCCTGGCCCCATGGCTTTTACAGTGAGTTCCAAGTCTTACTGTAGGATTCTTAAGGCTTGTAACTTTCTTCTTGTTTATTAGCAGCTAGATGTCCCCAAAGGGCTGTGATTATTTCCAGGGTAGGAGCAGAGGTGCTGTGAGATTGTATTCTATTCCCAGTGGGCCTGGGTAAAGGAGGAGGGAGGAGGCCAGCCTAGCGACCTAAGGGAAGGGGTGTCACTGGCCTCTCCTCTCTCCAAAGGCCCCAGTTCATGGACCCTCGGTTAAGAACTCTTGCATGAAAGCAAAGTTACCCAACTGCTGGTTGGGGTGGACTTTTATTTTTTCAGGTTTTATTTTTATTTTTTCCCCAATCAAACATCTGTTTAACTAAGTCTGTTGAATTATTTCTTAAAACATATAAACAAAACTGTGACTTTTGACTCTGTTTTGTGTGCTTTCCCGCCCCCAGTTTCCGGCTCCCTGAGACTCCTCGAAAGGCCATGGAGAGCTGAAGAGTCACAGCAGAGAAGGGAGTGCTGGCCTGGCCCATGCTGGGGCCTGGATTAGCAGGGCTGTTAAAGCAAGACCACAAGTTACTGTTTGGTGCTGTCTTTGACCCCCATTTCCTGGAAATTTGACTCCAGAATTGAGTGGCAGAGGGGTGGGGTTGTGGAAAGGTTATGTCTTAGAGCCTTGGGAGAGTCAGCTCTCCTTGGAGTTTCAGAGAAGCCTGCAGCTGTGTGGGGGAGGGAAGGCTACATGATGGACAGCCCATGCGCTCCTGTGGCCCCCTCCGTAGGGAACGTCTGGGGACCGTGGCTGAGGGTGGCACAGGATGAGTGGGCGTATTTGGAGGGAGAAGGTCACAGACTACTGGGGCTGTCTTCCGTCATCATTGGGATGGAGTGGCAGCGTGTATCCAGCCGACCACCTCTGTGCAACATTGCGCTCGCACACCTGGACAGCGATGGGTGTGCGTACATGCGTGCGCGCATGTGTGTGTGTGTTAGGGTCCTTAGCTGCAGGCAGCCCTGTTGGAGGTCTGAGAGGAAGGTCCTTGGAAGGGAGGGGGGAGGACTGCAATCACTGAACATTCTAGAGCATCTCGAGTTGGTCCAGTTTTGCCCTGCTTGAGCGTGAGCCCCAGGTGGGGTCTTATGGAGGGAGTGGCTCAGAAGGCTTCCCAGCTGTCCAGCAAGCAAACCTGTCCTTGCCTTTTTAGAAAGAAAGTGAAGCCCTGCCGTAAAGTGAGGAACACAAGCACTTTCCTGTAGCCCCCCACCTTGCTTTCCTCGTGCCTCAGACAGAACACAGACCCCCCTGCTGGGTTGGACATTTGCGTGGCAGTCATTTTCTCTTAAGTCTGGGCTTGTTTTTAGTCTTGGCTGCCTGTTCTCCTCTCGGCAGCCAGACGAAAGTGCCAGGTTTTGATGCTGCCGTATCAGTGCAAGAAGCGCTTTGAAAATGAGAAAAGCAAAGACTCCCTTTGTTCTCACACCCACTCCCAGTCAGTCAGGACCCTAATAAGGAGGCTCCATCAGATTGGTGGCTAATTGCTGGTGAAGCGGATGTTTTCTCTTTTGATTGCTACTTCTGTATACTTTGTTTATTTCTAGAGCCCAAATAGCTTGTCACAGGAGGTGGGAGGGGGACGTCTCTGGTCACCTACGTGGAGCTGCAGGCGGTCCCCGTGGAGGTCCTGCCCTGGTCCACGCTACGTTCTCTGGCCGTGCTCTTGGCCTGTCACTGACGGCTTTGTCTGATTTGTTTTCTAGAGCCATCAGAAGAGACTGTCTTGGAGCGATATGGATTCCCTGTGCTTGGGACCCAGCCCCGATGCTACACAAATCATGCATTGTCCTACGATCAGGCAAAACGGGGGCCCCGCTGGGTCATCGAGCACATCTCCAAGAGCAAGACACAGGGTAGGTGGCGCCCGCCCAGAGATGCGGGCCAGAGCACCGCGGAGCCGGCTGGCCTCGTGGGCTGGCTTCACAGAGGTGGATGTTTCCCGTGTCCTGGTTTTTATTTGGCCTTGCTATGCGGTGCTCCCCAGATGGTCCTAGATCACTGTTAGGTGTCAGTGTGGGCTGCTGAGCTTTTACTGCAGTGCCTCGTTTAAATGTTCTGTCAGACAGACATTTCACACGAGCTTCAGTTAGATGGAAATGCTGCTGACCCCTCGAAGAGCCCATGTTTACAAATGTAATCATTTTCTCTCTCTCTTCTTCAACTGCATATTGAAGATCCTTCCAGGTAGATGGGTGGCACGGTGGAGAGATAGTGTTGGACTTGGGGTCCAAGAGATCCGAGTTCAGATCTTGCCTCAGACACTTACTAGTTGCATGACCCTGGGCCAGTCACTTAACCTTTGTTTGCCTCAGTTTCCTCCTCTGTAAAATGGGGATGATAAGGGCAGCTTCCTCCTGGGGGTTGTGGTGAGGGTCACATGAGGTGACGTGTATAAAGTGCCTCGTAAACCTTAAAGTGTTCCATAAGTTGGACATAGCTGCCATTACTGATTTGTAAGTACACTCGAGTGGTACGTTGGGCGTGGTGGGGGGGGGGGCTGCCCACCACACGCTCGCCTTTGCAGGCTTTGTGTGGGCTCTTCCCATTCTTCCTTTATCCTCCCTCACCAGGAGCTGTGGTTTTCTCTTGTTTGGCCAGACTTCATCGTTGTATGTAAACTGAGGCACTGGTCTGTGCATAAATCTTCATCTGTGTTTAGGTCGGCTACTGAGGCCTCTTCAGCTTGCCACCTGGTCCAGATAATCGAGGTTGTCACTCCTGGATAAGTGAGATAATGCTCTTAATAGAATTGTCTGTGTGATGCATTTCCAGGTTCATAGTTAACTCTAGAGATTTTATAAAATTAGAATTTTTAAAAATGTAACTATTTAAAAATTAAACTTTCTGATAAAATACTGTAAGCTCAGCAGTGCTGTATCAATACACACTTGATTGAACAGGCTGGCCAGTGTGGTCAGTTAAAAAGGGTTAGCTACTGGTTTGAGGTGAGAAGGTGAGAGTGACGCTGGCTCTGTGAGCTCACTCACCAGGTTCTTTTGGGGAATCGTTCGGTCCCACTTGGGGCTGTGTGAGTGTGCACACTGGGATCGGACTTGGATGACACGCTTCCCTCCGTGGTGGAAGGTAACCCTGGACAGGACTGCCTTTGGTTTGTTCACAACGTTGAGTGAAATGCCCAGAGGGAGCACAGACACATTCAAGATATTTTCTTAATTTGAATAAAAACACTGCGTGCTAGCAACAATCCCTTGGCCAGCCAAGGACGTTGCTGTTACCTGGAGTTTTCAAATCCCCTAAAAGTAGGGATCGGTGTGGGCTGTGCCTGAATTTGCACAGTGCTGTCTTTAAAAGGAAAAAGATCAAGGTGTGCCCTAATGAGAGTCCTGATTTTGGGTCCGTATGGAGGAAAAAGTGTGGGCTGTCTCTTAATCCTTGACATTTGTGTCACCGGTGTTGAAATTTTCTTCTAATTGTAACAACTAATTGGAGAAAACTATTGTCTTATAAACTTGGCTGACCGGTTTTTGTAATGATTGCTAGCCAGTCCCCTTTGGAAAAATTAGCATTTGGAGTATACCAGTTTCCCAAAAATCTCCTCATGTGATGTCAGTTGGCAAGTGTTTGTTAAGCCAGGTCCAGTGCCAGGTACTGGGGATGCCGTGGAGGCAGAAGCTCTAGCCTCAGGGAGCCCACATTCTAGTGGTGGGACATCGTGCAGATAACTGCATCCAGGCTGCTATCTGCACTGTGCAGGGAAGGGAGTCTTGGGAAGGGTTCTCAGCTCGGGGTGTGGGATGTAAGCTGAGTCTTGAAGGAAGCCGGGAAGGCCAAGGGGAAGTGAGGAGTGAAAGTCTGCCAGGCCTTGTGTCATCCCTGCATGCCAACACACAGAGTCTGGAGATGGAAAGCAGCAGTCAGCCACAGAACCTGGGGCCTCGCTTTTATGGAAGGGAGTAAGCGTCAAAAGACTGGACAGGCTGGACGGGGTCTGGTTGTGAGGCTGCGAAGGGCTTTTCGACGCCCCGCACAGATCAGAAAAGGCCGCCTGGTCCAGGAGGTTGGATTCTTTGCCTCCTGCTGTAGGATTTGAACCCAGGTCTTCCTGATTCCCAACACACCAACCGCTGCTTCACCTAGCTGCCTAGGAATGTTCTCTCTCCATGCTGAATGACAAGCAGCATGGGTAGCTGTGAACAGGGTGACAAACATTCACTTTTCCACAGCTAATTTTTCTGGTTTAACAGAGTCCTGAGAGTTATGGACAGTATGTTGTTAGGCTTCCTGACTCCTGGGGCACTGCCAGAAATAGGCCAAGAAGAGCCTGAATTGTTTAATTTCGGTGTTGGTACAGTCAAGGACAGGGGGGCCCCTGTGGCTCTTCTGGTGGGGCTGGGGAAGACCTTGGTTGGGGGGGGGTGTTGAACTCATGGGAACTTGAATGTTTCTTTAGTCATGGGGTAAGCAAGATAGTGAAGACACTGCCGTGCTGTGGCTGCACTTGTTAGGACATGGCCCTGGGGGGCACCACCGAGAGCCCTGCTGTCCATACCAGACAGGCCATTAAGTGGGCAAGTCCTGTGCTAGGTGGCCTCCCCAAGTGGGTGTGCATGGAGTCCCCACATAGCAACTGCGGCCACCAGCGTGTGTGTGTGTGTGTGTGTGTGCGCGCGCGCACGCCCATGCGCACGCATGTGCATATGTGAGTTCTTTTTGGTGGTTGACCACTGGTGTGTTAATTTTTGGGTATGTTGCTCTTTAGGCAATGCAGACCGAAGACACTGTAAATTCTGCCCAGACCCCAGCATCCCGCCAGCCTTCAGTGCGGACAACGAGGACTACCTGGGGAGCGGCTGGTCGCGGGGACACATGGCCCCGGCAGGAAATAACAAATTCTCAACAGTAGCTGGTTTTCTAAGTTGGCACCGTCTGGGAGTGGGGGCAGAGCAGGGCTGGCAGGAGGATGTCAGCGGGTGCGGGGCCGGGGAGAAACGGGGCTGTTTGAACATCTTTTATCCCTTAGGACTTTGAGCCGATGCCAAGAGACTGAACTAGGCTGCTCGGCTCAGAAATGAGGTGCTCTGGCCACAGTAGAGGATGGGGGAGAGGTGTGTGCTGAGGAGCTGGGGGAGGCCGTGAGTCTTGCTGATAGCTGAACTGATGGCTGAGTTTTCCCTGAGCGGTGGCTTGGCTGTTTGGCCAGCATGCTAATTGCATCTGCTCTCTGACTGTGGGTCTCACCTTTGGTTCTGAAGCTCTTGGATGGCTTCCGTTCTCAGAGCTGTCTGATGTAAATACTCTGGGGGGTAGACAGTGGCAAGTGAGAACACTGGGGAGCCTGAGGGAGGCCTCTGATTGTCGAGGCCCCGGGATTGTTTTGGGAAGACTTCAGCTCTCTCAGATCCCAGCATTGCCCTCCTCTCTCTCCCCGGGCAGCATGCGGTCAGTGGCTTTGAACCTCTTTGCTGGGGTGGTCTTTGATTGGCCAGTGACGATGGCAGCTGAAACTCGAGATCAATGACACTTGTTTTGTGTTTTCATTGTATGTTGGTTTCCCAACAAAGAGTACGTAAGGGATCCTTTTACCACTTGGCTAGTCCTCATACCTGACTGAGGAAGGGATGCTTTTGGGTGCTTAGACTATGTTGAATGATGAAAATCCAGGGGAGTTTCTGTGGGCAGGGTCCTGTGATGGATGGAGGGGGTGATGCAGAGAAGGTTAGGGTGCAGAGCTTGTGTCTCTCCCAGGGAAGGCACCTGGGTCTATGTCTGGGGGGAGCCCAGCCAGTAGGCTGGCAACAAGGAGTGTTTGTGTGTGTCACTTGGCAATAATCTGCCAACCCTAGAGCCTGCCCTGCTACTAGGCCAAATGGGACCTGCTGGGGGCTGCCAGCCCAGGCGGGCATTCCCCTAAAGGCCGCTCTTCTTCCTTCTCTCCACAGGAAGCCATGCAGGAAACCTTCTACCTCTCGAACATCGTGCCTCAGAACTTTGATAATAATGCTGGCTATTGGAACAGGTGAGTGTGAAGAACATGGCGCCGTTGTGTTTGATGAGGGCAGACTGCCATCCCCTGTTCCCAAGGCTCAATGCGCACCATCCTGGCAACTCAAAAACAGCTGCAGGACGAGCCCTGGTGACTGATCTGTCCTCAGGACCCTCAGCGGCTCTCTTAGGGCTTGTGTCTGTCTCTGCCAGTTGTTTTTTTTTTTTTGTTAAGGCAATTGGAGTTAAGTGACTTGCCTAGGGTCACACAGCTAGTAAGTGTCAAGTGTTTGGGTTTGAGGCCGTATTTGGACTCAGGTCCTCCTGACTTCAGGGTCGGTGCTCTATCCACTGTGCCACCTAGCTGCCCCTCAGTTTTTTTTTAAAGATTATTTTCCTGGTCATAACAAATTTAAAGTTCAGCATCCTCTAAATAACATGAAAGGTGACTTTTCTAGGGGAATTTATAGGAAAGTAATAATGTGGTTGTGAAAATGCCTAGTCTTCTATGTATAAGTCAGAGTTTCTTTTTTAGTCACTATTAAGCACCTGCTTCATGGACAGCAGGTACAGCATGGGGAAACGTGGTTCCCCAACTCCCAGGCCCCTTGGGAAAGCCCAGCACACAAGGCAGATGAGGACAGGATCAAAGTCAGCCCCGTGCACAAGGTGGAAGTGGGATCAGGGTACATTGGGAGGGGTCAGCTCGGTGCCCGGAGGTTTGGACCTGAGCGTGGCACAGAGCCCCCGGAGCTGGAGCATGCAGTTCAGGGCATGGGAGGTTGGCTCCCCATGGCATTGAGGCCTTGTGTGACTGAGCTGCCCATGCTTTCAGAGGCCTGGGGTCAGAAAAGAGAGATTGGGATGAGAAGGAAGGTGACAACGGCATCTCTTTCACCATTCCATCCTGTATGTTTAGCACTAATTCTCATCCTCCATAGTCACCACTTGAATTGTGTACCTTAGGACACAGTGGACCTTCCACAGAGCTGGAAGGAGCCTTAGAGGTTTTCTGGTGCAATCCTTTTATTTTCCAGACTGGGAAGCTCGGGCCCGTGGATGTATGTGGCTCAGTGTCTGTGCTACTGTTTGGGCCAGGCCTCCTTCCAAGACCCTCCCTCCGCTGCCCTGGGTCCTGGATCCAAGCCCCCTCTCCCTCAGGGCCTCTTGGGGGCCCATCTGGACTCTGGCTTGACTCTAGTCTGACCTGTCCTACCTCCCACAGCCCCCCAAGGTGGGGGGCTCATCATTCCCCCTCATCTGCTGCAGGCCAGCATCTACACTGCCTGTAGGTCGCTGTGCAAGGAGCCTGTGTTCTACCTTTAGCTGGCCTGCACTTCCTCCCCTCTGGCTGTCTCTGTCCTGCCCATTCTTCAGGTCTCACCTCTTCTGGGAAGGGCCCACCCTAATCTGGAGCCGTGTCCACTCTCACACTGACCCTTTACAGAGGTTTCTGAAAGTTTTAAGCACCTGCTACACTATCTCATTAAGAATTAAATCGAAGGCCATAGGTGATCATGGGAGTAACATAATTAGCAGAACGAGTATCATTTGGCAAGAGAGACCTGGTTCATATCAGAAGGGAAAAACCCTGGGCTTTCCCACTTGGCCCACCGTGAGGCTATAATCCCATCAACTGGCCTTTCATTGTGGCTACACCCAATCTCCCCTCCATTGTCTTACCTCCCAATGGCCCCTGGCCATTTCCCACACTTAATCCTAGCTAGGCTCCATTGTCCAGGTCCTAGGAGTTCTGTTCATCCCAGTTTACTGGCCACTCCCATCCAGATCTCCTTAGATCCTCCCCTCACCCCAGACTACTTGGCCACTCCTAGATCCCTCCCACAGGCTTTCTGTATATAAGGTCCATCTTGTCTCCATTAAGATGCTGGGGTTCTTATAATCTAGCCACTGCACAGATTTTCACAATCTAGCCAATAGCCCATAGATGCTCAGATTCCTTAAGAGTCTAGCTAATGTGGCTAATTTTCAATAAACCTTGTTTTTGGCTGAAAGAATCTTGGGTCGAATTCTTTCAGGCAGGACCTGTGTGTTGTGATTTGGGGATTCCAAGACCCCCGACCTCTAGACCTCATCAGACCTAGCTGGCTGACCCTCTCTGAGCCTCAGTTTCCTCGTCAAATGGGGATAATAAAACGTACACCTCTCGCCTAGTGAGAGGCAGTGTGGTGCAGCGGATAGAGAGTTGGCTGCGGAGCGACAAAGACCCTGGCAACTCTCCGCTGGCCAGGGGACAGTCTTCCTTGCAGTGCCTCGCCCTGCCCTACCCCGACCTGCTACCCAAACCTTGGAGCCATTCTCATTGGGCAGACCTTAGTCACCTGTTGGTGGCCCTCTTTAAAACGGGAGTTCTGCTCTCCACTCCCTACCCCAGGTTTCTTGTGGGCATCAGGTAGCATCTTGGATGTGGGAGCAAGCTGTCCACAGATGGCAGAGGGCTGGTTTTTAAACAGCAGTAATTTGTAGATGTGTGAAGATTTTAGAAGCACTGTCCTTTACTCCCCTAAGCTGGTGTGAGCTGGCAGCAGTGGAAGGTCAGGGCACGGCTTCATGTTTTGGGGCATCTTGTTTGTATTCCCTCTGTCTCCCCGGCCAGGATCCAGCAGCCGGGCCATTGGCTTAGGAAATCACCTTCCACAGGCTTGATACTGTGCTAATTAAGTGCCTTTTACAATTATGGTCTCGTTTAGTCCTCACTACAAATCCTCTAAGAGAAGGGCTATTATCACCCCCATTTTATAGATGAGGAAAATTGAGGCAGGGAGGTTCGTTCATTTGCCCAGGGTGGCCCACCTAGTAAGTGCTGGATGGAAGATTTGAACTCAGGCCTTCTCGACTCCCAAGTCCAACACTCCTGTGCATTATCATTGTATACAAACAAGGGTGGGTCAGGGCAGAGCCCCTTGTGATTTAGGGAGGCTTGTTGGAGGGAAGGAGCCTAGTCTGAAGGAAGGAGTTGCCAGATTGCAGCAGGCCACTCTGTTGGTGGAGGAAGCTTCAAAGCCATTCTGTGGAAGGACCCATTGCTGTTTGGCCCCACGGCCCCATGAGCAGCCCTTCAAGTGTGGAGAGACAAGCTGTATGGATGAATCAACGCCAGTGCTAAGCTAGATGCCTGAATCGTAATCACGCCTCTGGCTAATTGATTGTCTGTACAAACAGTATCAGTTTTGTTTACAGAAGTATTAATTAGCTCTTTAAAGATTTGTCGGTTCTAGACTGGCCCTTTTGGCAGAACTGATTCTCCTCTGCCTCCACTAGTCCCCCTAAGCTGGCCAGCAGTGCAGTCTCGATCCTTTGAAGTAGGTCCTGGGCATTCTTCTGTCATGGATGCCTCGGGCAGGCTCTGGGCAAGCTTCTGGGCCCTTCCCTCTCAAACCAAAGAGAAGGCTAAATTTCAGCTAGAAGCTCGTGGAAGGAGAGGTGGAATCCTCTTCTCTTCCAAGTTCACAGAGCCCTGAAATCTCTCTGTGGCTCAAGGTTACGAATCCCCCTTCAAAGCCTGCTCGAGAGGCGCTTTAAAGGCAGGGAACTTCCAGATGGGTCTGTTTGAAGAAAAATGAAGTTCATACCTAAGTAGTTATTTTGAAAATATCTGCAAGGCATCTAAATTGTTCTTTTTACAAGAGATGAGAGTATATTCATGTTTTCTTTATGAAGCTCAGAATGTGTAAATTAAGGTTTCCCCGAGTTTGGTCTGGGTTGGGAGCTTCCCTGAGGAGAGGCACTGCCTCCCAAGGTGCTAGTTGGGGGTGTTAGTGAATTCTCTGACCCCCTCTGTTAGCCTGTCTCTCTCCAACAGGAGCATTGGCCTGAGATCGAGGGCCTCTTCACTGAAAGCCCAGCACTGCCATCTGGCCGTGTTACCAGGCAAAGCAGATAAGTTAAAGGCTGTCTTTGAAGAGTGAGGCTTCTTTTGTAAACTAGGAGAAGCCTTTAGAAAGGCTGACATCAAATACTTATGAGCTGCAGAAGGAAGGAATAATGACTGCTCTGGTTTTGCTCTGGGGTGAGAAGAAGGCAGAATGGGGGGGTGGGGGAGGCCAGTGTTTTGACCATGAGCAGACTGGGGCCTCCAGAGTGTGTGATTTGTTACCCCCGTTCAGTGGGAGAACTAGGAGTTTTCTGCCTGGTGCTGTTTCTCTTATGTTGTTTTATCCCAAGAGGAAAGAGTGACCCAGTGAGATACAATCAAAATGTTTGTCTCTATTTTAACTTAGTTGTGAACATTGTAATGGCACTTCCCATTTTTCAGATAGGTAAACCAAGGTACAAAGACGTGCTTGATTTCCCTTCATTTCATCCTGCTCTGTTCTGGTGACCGATGCAGAAATGGCCTTTCTCGTTACCAAGGTCAGCCACTCCACTAATGCCCAAGTCTCCCTTATCTTCCTTTGACTTTACTGTCCTTCAAGCAATAGTTTATGGCTCCCCTCCCTTTTACAGTCAGACACCTAGAAAAGCCTCTCCACTCGGGCCTTCTTCTTCTCACTCACTTCTCCCTTGCAGGGGACTCCCCGCTTTCTCTCTCAGGAGGGCTTTCTGCAGGGCTCTCCGAGGTCTTCTCGGCCACCAATCCAGAGGCCTTGTCTGCCCCTGCTGACCACCCCCTCCTCCTGAGTGCTTTTCTTCTTTGGCTTTGACCCTGCTGTCATCTCCCCTGTCTAGGACCCTTCTGGGGGAGCTCCAGGGCGCCGCAGTGGCCCCCTTTCTTCCTTGGCTGTGTCTCCCCTCAGGTAGCTTTGCAGACAGCAGTGACTGTCTCTGTTCTGTCTTTGTACTCGTGATTGAAGGAGTAACTTCATTAGTCATGTGGATGCCCGTTTCTAAGAGTTGCTATAGCTGAGCATTCCCATCTGCTGGAGGTGGCTTACCTCCTCCACGTTCACACCAATGACGCCTGCTGCTGTTGATTCTTCTCTCTTTGCAGAATTGAAATGTATTGTCGAGAGTTAACGGAGAGGTTTGATGATGTTTGGATCGTCTCTGGACCCTTGACCTTACCGCAGATGGGCGAAGACGGAAGGAAGAGAGTTACCTATGAGGTAGGACACAGTTTGAATTGATGGGCACGCGTGGCGTTGTCTCTGTTTGTCCCATGGTACTGGGCTCTGGGCCAGGATCCCAGCAGGCCCTTCATCTCTGGGGCTAGTGGCGCCAAAGAAACGCTTGAAAACCCACCAGGAAGGGGGGCAGAGAGCTTTACACCTGCTCAGCAAACTCTTAATTCTGAATTAACGAAAACCAAAAAAAGAAAGAGCATTTCCATATACAAAGTAGAACAGAACGAAAGAATTATGTGTGAAAATACAAAATCCCGTACTATGTATAGTTTAACTTAAAAATTTACAATAAATTCATCCTGCTACTTTCAAACCTGTTCTGCTTGTCTTCATTTCCTTTTGAATTCTTTCATTTCTCATCTAGGCATTTGAAAAAATACTTCAGTGACCTCCCTCCTTTCCTCTCTCTTTCTTCTTCCCTCCTTCTCTCCCTCCCTTCTTCCTTCCTCCCTCCTTCTAACCCTAACCCCCTCCTTCCCTCCTCCCTTCCCTCCTTTCCTCCCTCCCTCTCGCCCTTCTTTCATTCCTCCTCCCCTCCCCTCCCCTGTCTTAGAAGTTAGGAAGTGCACGATCCTCCTTTTGTAGATGAAAAACTGGGGCCAAGGGTCATCAAGTGATTGACCAGAGGTCACAGTTAGCTCCAGAGCTGATGCTTCTTACCCTGTGCCATGCTGCTTCTCCCATAATTCATTGTTTAGAATAAAATATGACTTAGTGGTCAAATAATTTAGAGCATTTCATTAAATTAACCTTTTTGAACAAATGGTGGGATTTTCGTATTCAAGGAATTTATGTATTGGCTGATTTTTTTCATTAAGAGAAAATGGCTGTCCCTACTCCTAAATAAAATGAAATTTTAAAAAAAATTAAGCTTTTCCTGACTCCCTTAAGATTTAGGGTTTGGAAAGTTTCACAGAACAATGTACATTTAATTGGGAAAATCCTAAGTCCAGCAATGACCGGCTAGCACCTTGGTTCATCAGCATAGTGCCTCATCTCTCCATGGTGCTCTACTGGCGAGGGGCCTTGACGAGAGGCCAGAGATGGGTCAGTCCCTGAGTGCCTTTCTCCCCTCTGCTCACACTGGCCAGTGACCCCTTGAAGCAGGGGGCAGTATTTGGGTTGTGGGCTGTGGTTTCAGGCCCTGTTTAAAGCCCCACTTTTCTTTAGTTGCATTTCTTCGGCTTTTGGCCCAGTTTGTGATTCGGGACCCTGTAATTCTGCATGTGTTGTGGGTCACAGGAGCTGGCACTGGGATCTTCAGTTCTCTTTACAGTGAGGGGCATCTTCACGGTCCCCACATCTCCAAGGACGTGAGTAAGTCAGCCACGTGACCCCCACAGCAGCAAGGCTGCCTCTCATGGAGTTGGACTGGCCTGTTCCCCACTTTTTTCTTCTGTGCCCATCCTGAAACTAAGGCTCTGCTACGTGGCTCCCCCTCGGCTGGGGCAATGGTTCCAGGCTGGCTAGAGGATAGACTTCAGCCCCATTGTTGAGAGTGACATCTTGGAGCGTGCTCGTGGCCTTCAGAGGCTGGCTCTGATTCTCCTACAAAGGTCTCGGGGTGACTTGATACTGTCACGGGCTCGGAGCTGGACGGGACCTTTCAGGCTGTCACGTCTGTCTCTGTTCCACAGGACCCGCAGTCCGAGTGGCGGGGCACCTCGGGGCCATCTCATGCAACCCCTCACTTTACGGAGGGGGAAACTGAGGCCCAGGGCGGGGCAGGGACTGGTCAGTGTTGTTCCTTGTTGGAAGGAGGCCTCTCCCCTTCATTGTCCTCAGAGATCATTTCAGTGATGCCTCTTTCTGACTCAGCAGCTGGGGCCCCGGTCTTAGGCGTTTGTGTCCTGGGGGTTGTTGTCTTTCTTTTGAATAATGTCTTTTGTGGCTGCCTAGCGCCCACGTGTTGATAGCGCCCTTCCTGATTGGCTTCCAAGGGCTGCGTGCCTGGTTTTTGCCCTTGCTGGGACACCGAGGGCTGCTCGAGGTTTGACGGCTCTTGCTGCATTAGACGATCTCCCCTCTCCCTGTGGAATCACCAAGTCCAGGCATCTTTACGTTATTGATGAAGTTAAACTTTTATAGTCTTTTAGGAAATGTTTTATTGATGTGTAAGATCTCAATACCCTGCCTGCTCCCTATTCCCCTCCAGAGCTGGCGGGGTCGTGTCCAGGTGGTTGTCCCAATTCCTGTTTGGGCATCTTTGCCACTTTGTCTGGTGTGAGGTGGAACCTTGGAATTGTTGTAATTTGCCTTTTTCTTAAAATTAGTTTTTTGCAGCATGTTTTCATGAAGGAAATGTAGTTTGCAGTTCTTTCGAAAACCATTCCTATCCCTTGACCACTTATTCATGGCGAATGATTCTTGAGTTTCTTTTTTTTTTTTTGTTAGGCAATGGGATTAAGTAACCTGCCCAAGGTCACACAGCTAGTGAGTATCATGTGTCTGGGGCTGGATTTGAACTCAGGTCCTCCTGACTCCCAGGCGAGTTCTCTATCCACTGTGCTACCTAGCTGCCCCGCAAATGACTCTTAATGTTCTGTTTGTGTCTATTCCCTCTATAGTTTGAGTATCAGACTTACCGGTGATATTGGAGCTCCGTGTTTTTCCCAACTTGCTGTTTCTTGGGTGGGCTTGTGAAGGTTGTTCTTTGAGCTTTTCAAGAGTGGTTGTCCCTTAGTCCCTGCTGCCCGCTGTCCTACAAACTGCCACCCATCGTGCACAGTGAGAGATGCTGAAAGCCATGGCTGCTTAGCTGGAGTATGTTGGTTTCCTTGGGGTGCTTCTCAACAGACATCTGTGTTTTCAGAGACCTGTTTAGAAGCGGACTGACTCCAGTTTATAGTCGAGCGTTTGGCGATTCTGCGTCACACAAGGTAGAGGCGCGAGTGTCTGGCTTGGCAAAGAGGCCCCAAAGTAGATTCCTCTTACAAAGTGGCACCGCTTCCTAGTGCCGGCTGGTGATAGTTCTCTGTGGGCGGAGAGGGATGTTGAAGATGTCCCCAGTGACGGAGGCGGACAAGGCCCTTCCCTGAGGACCAAAGACCTCACCCTGGAGCTTACGGTTTAACAGCAGAGTGAAGAAATGTATAGAAATGACTAAGACAAGGTGAAAGAGCCTAAATCATGCAAAGAGGAACAAACTACCTGCAGAATTCAGAGCAGGGGCCGCTGTCCCCTGACTGGGTGGGGAAGGGAAGGCCTCAGTGGAGGGGCGGTGGTTGAGCTGGTGGAGATGGAGGGCATGCGCGTGCCGGCTGTGTCCATAGAAGGAAACAGTCTCACAGGTGGCTGCTGAATTTGTTTGGGTTGGAATGTGGGGTATAGGATGGGGTCAGGTAGCAAACTGCTTTGTGTGGAGTAACTTTAAAAAGCTAAGTGTTGACTTTTACTACAGAATTGGAAAAGTGTATAAATATTTTTAATAATGGGATATGTAGACCTCATCAGAAGACCGTATTATGTTCATGCCCCCTGAACAGAAGCCTCAGGAGAGAGCCGGGAGCTGATGTTAGCAGAAGACAGTCACCGACGGGTCCAGTCAGATTACCTGGGCCGGTTGGACGGGTGCTCTTATTTCTCCATTCCAAGGAAAGGTGAAACCTGGGTAAGAAGTGTCAGAAGCCTATGGGTGACCTGAAAATAGAGGGACCGTGAGTTCTGACAGAGGCTTTGACCTGACAGTGGACAGAGCTGTGTTCTTCAGCCATTCCCGATGTTGTAAGCCCTGGTCAGCACGCCCCCCACCCTCACCCCATTGGACTCTCTCTGCAGGTGCTCCCCACTCCCCTCCCTCACTTTGACTGAGCTGATGGCAGGGTCATGGGCAGCAGGTAGACCTTGAGTCATCTCCAGGTAGCTTTCACAGGGAAGCTCTCGAGGTGCAGTAACCAGAAGGCTGACAGAACCTGGGGTTTCTTTGGGGTCTCTTCTTTGACAGCCACTGAGAGAGGTGTGGCATGGTGAATTGAAAGGCCTGGTTTCCGGTGTGTGGATTGGATTGTAGACTGCTCCCACTAGCAGGACTTGAAAGTTTCTCCTTAAACAAACTGCAGCCCAGAAGGCCGAAGAAACCCATTCAGCTCCTCCCAGGGAGGCCTCTGAAGAGTGGGGGAGAGAAGTGAGCCTTTTCCCCCCAGAACCATCACCGGACTCCAAGGCCACGTCTCAGACCAGCCTCAGCCATTCTAGCGCCATGAATCAGCTTCCTGCCTGGCAAAGACGGGAGGGAGTATTACTTGGAGGTTGCCGTAAGAGACAGATTTGGCCAGATGCGTTTGGATGTCTGAGCCACCCAGCTAAGGAGGAGTCCAGACACCAGCTCGTGTGTGTCCTGGCAGGATGTCCCTGTGGTCGAGGGAATCTCAAACCATCTGCGTGTGCAGAAGGAACTAACTCCCTGCAGGGAAGGAGCAACCGTGGCTGCACCCTGACTCTCGCCGTCACCCGTCTCTCCTAGCGGTGTCTTCTCAGGGGTGGCAGCCCCTTTTTTAAAGAAGGTGGGACAAGGGCTTCCCTCGGTGACTGTTTAAGGAGAAGCAGGCTGGCTACACGACCAGTACCCAAGGACACATTGGTTCTGGGCCGGCCCTCATCTTTGGCGTGCTTGGGTCTTCTGTTCAGTCGTGCCAGCCTGGTCTGTCAGCTTTCCCTGAAGCCCTGGTTTCTGCCCATTACCTGCACAGACCTTCTTCTGCTTGTGCAGCAGCCGTAGTCTCCCCTGCTAGCAGGTGCTCCCTGAGGGCAGGGGCTGTGTTTTTGCTTGGCATGTGGTAGGCACTTCAGAAGAGTTTGCTGATGGTGATGGTGGACAACGTCTTGGCTCTGGAGCCCTTCTGGCTGAGCTGTGCTTCCAGAAATACAGTGACAGCTGCAGCTTCTGGAAGCTTTCTCATTTTTCTGGAAACGTCCTGCCTTTTCTGCTTCCTGATTGGCCTGAGAAGTTTGTAACCTTCCCCAGGGGTTAGGGAAGGCCTTGGACTCCCAGAAGAGGCTCCCCCCCAACACACACACGCACACGCGCACGCGCACGCGCACGCGCACGCACGCACATGCACTCTACTGTCCATAGAGAAAGCTCCTGCTCTGGGCACCCTGGTGGATGATGGTGGTGGCTGGGAGCAGCTCCGGCGGCTGCAGTGGCGGCTTAAGTCCACCAGGTGGCACCAGGAGCACACTTTGACTTGTACATTGAGGTGTTTTGCTCATTCCTAGACACTGGCCATGTGGCCGGTCCAGACCACTCTGCTCTGGTGAGGGGCCTGTCTGGACGTTCCCTGCTCTGGCTTTGTGGGGATGGCACTCTCCTGCTGTGTCTCTAGGCCTGCCTTCCGTCCGGTTTTGTGTGCCCCTGAGGGGGTCCCCATGGTGGGGACCCAGCTGGCTTTGGGACCTGGTTTGGCTCAGGTTGTACTGAGAGTCTTGTAGGAGCAGTGGAAAAGGACCAGGCTGGTTTTGACGGGTTCTTGGCCCCCTGCCAGTTTGTACTTAGAGGGTAGAATGGGTCTGTCCTGGTCCCATTTGTGTGTATGTGGGGGGGTGTGTGTGTGTGTGTGCGCGTGTGTGCATGGGTGTATACAGACCCACACACCATAGATACCCCCCCACCTGTGTGCGTGCGCACATGCACGCGCGTGCACACACACACACACACACACACACACAGGGAGACAGGCAGCTAGATGCATTGGTAGTTAGAGCCAGTCAGGAAGGCCTGGGTTCAAATCCAGCCTCAGACACTTAGTAGCTGGGTGGCCCTGGGCAGACTTCTGTTTTCCTCAATCCACTGGAGATGGAAATGGCGAAGCGCTCCAGTGTCTTTACCCAGAAAGCCTTGTGGACAGTGTGGGCCTGACATGGTGCACGGGGGCGTGAAGAGTGGGACACAGCGGAATGACTGAATGACAGCAGTAATACGCACACGCTCGTATTGTGTGTGTGTCGTTTCTCCACTATATGTACATATAGTCATGTACATGTGTGTACATGTGTGTATGCGTGCTTACTATATCCATAGTCCTATCAACATGCACGTACCCATACACCCCGTAGGGTCTCTGGGGTCCCCATTCATAACTGGCCTAATGACCTTGGGAAGGTGTTTGGGAGCGGCAGCTGAGAGCGAGTGAAGGTGTCCTGCATCTTTTGGCCATAGAGCAGCCCTCGGCTTGGCTTGGTCCAAAGTGGGGAGATCTGCTGGGGGGCAGAGAGTCAGAAATAGAGGATGTGATGAGAGGTCTTTGATGGGCTGCCAGAACACCGTCGGTAGAATCTGTTGAAGAAAAAGCGGATCAGTCTAGAGGGATGGGTCAGGATGACAGAGGGAGAACGCTCAGCTTCTGGAGGGAATTAAAATGGGGAGTGGGGGGCGCCCAGACAGCAGCGAGTCTGTTTCGTTGGGAAGTGGGGAAGAGGACAGGAGGGACTTCTCTGGGCCATCGTGGGAATCTTTAGAGTGACCTGGCTCGGGGTTGTGTTTGGGAAGAACTGGCCTAGATCTCCACGCCTGGATCTCTCTTGGAAGACTGCGCGGGCAGATTCTAGAGAGGTGGGCTGCAGTAAGCCAGTAATGCAGGTTCTGGTATAGACTAGAGTGGGCCCGACGACGGGGCTGAGATGGGAAGGGAGCCAGCCTGCCAGATCGCTGGGGACCAGGATCGAGCTGTGGGGAGCGTGGGAACCTTCTGCTGGGGAAGCTGGTGTCCTTGGGCCGTACTCCCGCCCCACCGCCTCTTCCCCCCAGACTGCTTTGTCTTTTTGTATCCTCTTCAGAAGCCCTAGGGTTTGGGGTGCGGTCACAGGGGAGGAGAAGGGTGAGAAGCCTGCGAGGGGCGGTGCTTTCCGCATGCATCCAGCAGGGGTCGCTAGCTGTCCCTGTGTCAGGCCGCGGGAAGGCACTAAAGCCTGACTTCACATTTCCCCCTGCAGCTCCGAGGGAATGTCGTTTTCAAAGAGCTATCGGACAGGCAGTAAGCATTTATTAAGTGCCTGCTGTGTGCCTGCCACCGTGCTCAAGCGCTCAGAATGCAGAAAGGCAGAAGACAGTCTTAAGGGGGAGGCGACATGCCCACGGATGAGTGCAGAGGGAGATGATTAGCAGAGGGTTGGGAAGGGCTTCCTGTGGGAGGTGAGGCTGCAGTGGCCTCAAAGGAAGCCAGGAAAGCTGGAGGCAGAGATGGGGGGGGGGTCTTGTTCTCGAGTGGCCAGGAGGCCGTTGTCACTGGACCGAGGAGTCTGGTGGTGAGAGGAGAGTGCGGAGGCAGAAGCGAGGCGGGGTCCAGCCCCGAGCACCAGATGCGTGGCTTTTATCTCCAGTGACCCCAGAAGGGGTCAGGAGAGACCAGATGTTGGGGTGCATCAGCAGTGTCTCCCCAGAGGGGAGTCATGGGGAAGAAGGGGGACCTGAAGGATGGGTGGGCTTGGGGCGGGAGAGTCCTGCTCTGCCGGGAAGTGTCCCATGGGCCTAGATATTTATCTGTGAGGAGGAGCAGCTCGTATACTCCCTCCCGCCCCTGCTCCACACCCATTTACCATGGTGCCGTAGTGGAAGCAGGGAGGGTTTGATGGACTCGGGTCTCTGAAGCAGTCTGGCTCTGGGCCCAGAGAGAGGCTGGGGAAGGAATTTTAGCCTCTGTTGCTTTTCTGTAGCCCAGTTTCCTTTAAACTTAGCAGAAGGCTAGGGTCGGAAAACCTGGGTTCAGGTCCTAATCCAGACACTTACTGGGTGAGTAAATCTTACCCAGACAGTCATTCTTCCTGGGCCTTGGTTTCTTCCCCTTCAAATGAGAGTGATAGTGCCTGCACTGTGCCCTGGTCAGGATGTCTAAGGAAGGCTGTGTGACCCTTGAGGGCTGATTTGGCCGGCCTGGGCTCCATCTTCGGGGAGTGGGCGGGTGGCTCCTCCAGCCTGCTCCCCCTTTCCTACCAGGATTTCAGGTGCTCCGTTTGGCCTCTCAGCCTTCTGCAGGATCAGTCGACCCTGACTCTCACCCTCCCCTGTGTTTTTAGCCATCTCTTGCCATCTTCCATAGACGGATGGCTCTGCCCGTCTTGGGCGAGTCAGAGGAGATTGGAAGTAGCCATTCCCTGATCAGATAAGGGGGGGGGTGGCAGGGGGGCAGTGAAGAGTTAATGCTATGAACATATTTTAGCCAGATTATGTCATTTCATTGGAAACCATTAAGGAAATGAATGTTCAGTTTCTTCTTTAGAAAACAGATATGGCTTTTAAGCCAAGGGGATGGAAATTTGAAAGGGCTTTCTAATGAATGTTATTGTATTATTGCAGCAGGCCCGCACAGGCAACTTGGTTAGATTTTCTAGTGTAACCCTGGCTCTTGCTTCTTTATTGGGGGGGGGTCCCTTTCCAGAGGATTTGATTTGATGCCACATGCAGTTCTGTGTGTGATGACAGGCCCGAGAGTGAGGAAAACTCAGAGCGAACAGCATTCACATTTAGCTAATTTAATTTTAAAAATTAGGAGATACCAGAGATGAGGATGAGGTATGTCTGGCCATTTTTCCAAAGGCTGTTTGAAAGTGTCTTCCATTTCTTCTTTTCCCTGGTGAATTTGATAAGCGGAGGCCTTGTTCTTGTGGCTGCGCTAGCAACTTGACCTTTTGAGAACAGGATGAGTTTTCCTGTGTGTGTTGAAGATCCAAGGCATAGTTAGATCTCACGTTCCCCTCCTTCCGCACAGCTCAGGGGGCACCTGCTTGCCCTTCGTGTGGTCTTGAAGGCGATTTGCTTTGAAGGGGTCTGTGACCAGGATCTTCAGTTAGTTGCTTATTTTGTCTCAGAATTCGTATTTCAGATTAATTTTGTCTTTGGCGGTTGCCTTTGGATCCGGTGGTCAGGGAGGAGCCATGGTGTGTACTGAGCTCCAGGACCACGCCTGGCAGGGGACATTTGGGAGCGGCTCACAGCTGGCGGTAACGTGGTATCCCTGCTTTGTCTGTAGGTCATCGGCAAAGACAATGTGGCCGTCCCGTCTCATCTCTACAAGGTCATCCTGGCCCGCAGGAGCCTCACCTCTACCGAACCCCTGGCATTGGGGGCTTTTGTGGTGCCCAACGATGCCATTGGCTTCCGGCCCCAGCTCACAGAGTTCCAGGTGAGTATCCGCGATCTGGAGAAGATGGCGGGGATCGTGTTCTTCCCCCATTTGGATACAGCAAAAGACACCAGGAGCCTCTGTGAGGTGGATACGTGCAAGCTTCTGGACTTCCAGGAGTTCACTCTGTATCTGAGCAAAAGGAAGATCGAGGGAGCGCGGACAGCCCACAGGCTGGAGAAGGTCATGTCGGAGCTGAAGGAGGCCGGGGTGCAGGCGGACGAGCATCTCCTGAGCCTCTACCGAGAGAAGCTGAGGCAGCTCGGCTCTGTGGAGCCGCCAGGAGCCCAGGAGAGGAAGTCGGGCTGACGGCCTCGGGGAGGGGCCCGTGCAGTCACCTCTGACGCTGCGCTGCTGGGCCAACGTGGCGTGACTGCTGCGAGGCTGACGGGGTTCCCGGCCTACTCCTCCAGGCCAGGCCCAGCTGAAGGTCAGAGGCCTGAGTGCTGGGCTGGCTGTTCTGCCCTCCTTTGCTTGTGTGAAGAAAGAACTTCACTGTGAGACCCACTCTGCCCCTCCAGGACTCTTTGGTGTGCCAAACTTCTGGAGCGCCCTGTGATCATGTGTTTTAGAAAGGCGCCCTTGGAATCCCATGGCAGAACCCTCCTTCCCCAGAGCCCCCACCCCATCCCTCATAGGCATCTGCCTCTGCGGATGAGCCAGGCAGCCCTCCTCCTTCCCGTTCCTGGTGTTTCTTCTTCAGGAGTGCGTCACATCTGTCCTCATTAGTCACCCCCAGAGGCTCCCTGCTCCCCTCTGATGTTGGGACACCTCCAGCTGAGAGAAAGAGGAGAGGTGGTCCATATTGTGTTTTAGCCCACCCCTGGTTCTTCTGAAGCTTGTGGCCCAGGGTCTCCTGGCCATTTCCATGGGTGCCCATGATCCTGCATCCTTCTGGGCCAGAGCTCTGAAGAACCTGGCTCCTTCCCTTTTAGGTTGGCCAAAGGGGCTTCATTTCCTCAGCCATGACCCCTCACCCTCTCAGTCTGCGAGGAAGAGCTATGGTGGGAAACCTTCCTAAGCCAGCTAGAAATGCCCCTGTGTTATCTGAGCCTCTGTTTGCCTCCAAACAGGAGCTGACAGGATTTCCCCAGTCTCCTCTGGGCATGCATACATACAGCAGTGCCCTATCTTAGAATATGGCTAGTTCCTACAAAATGTTCCATATAGATGGGTCCTGAAAGCTAGCTGAGAGCAAAGGCCTCCCCTCAGGCTGTGTCTGCCTGGGGCCGGTGGAGTGGGCTGGGCAGAACCTGGGCCATGACAGGCTTAATGCTAATTACAGCTCACCGGTGTACAGGCCTTTGCAGTGACATGCGCTTTGGGTCAGGGATAGCCTCCTACGTGATGCCAGAACAGCCTTGTGAGGGAGAAAGATGGAGTCCTGGAGACACTCGTCCCCTGTGGGGAAGCGGCAGGTGAATTCTACCCATTTACAAAGCAGCTGGTGTGTGCAGGATGGTGTGCTGTGGACTGGACAGACAAAAAGGAGCAATGGTAGCCCTTCCCTTCAGGAGCTCCCCATGTAATGGGCGAGGGGAAGTTCCGCATCCATGTGACACCCTGATCAAAGTGGGGAGGGTCATTAGGTGCCGAAGAGACGCCACACGAGGGTCTGGGAGCTGGAGGACAAAGACAGGGAGAGGGAGGGGGAGAGAGGCCCCCTGTAGCTTGGAGCAGCATCTGCCACGTCCCTTGAGCCAGACTTTTGACTTTGAGTTTGCATGAAACCCTTTTCTGGGTTATAAAAATATACAGTGAGATACCTTGGGGCAGAACGGGGACTTGTCTAAGTGGATCAGACCACAGGGATGTCTTTCCGTGCAGGGCTCTGAAAGCAATTTCTGTAGTGTTTTTATGTGTCTCTCTTGGCTTCTGAAAACATAGAAGCCTTAAGATAGAATGGGGATATCATGACAAACTTGGACCTTGGTGTGTTCTGGTAAAAAGACTGTGCTAGATCCAGGGGCAGGGAGACCCAGACCTTCCTTGTGTACATCCCTGGCAGCTCCAGCCAGCCCGTCTATGTCTGGCCACAGTCTGCTCTCTGCCCTCTGCTTCATTACCCTTCCCCCGTAGCCTACCTTCCCCTGCTCTGCCTCCCTCGGGCACCCCACCTCTCTAGATGCCCCTGTGGCCTGGGGAGACGATCCCTTGGGGACAGGCGGAGGATGTGGCACTGATCCCATCTCCAGAGTCTGGAGCTGTATTGAGGTAAGAGTGGCAAGATAAGGATGCCCACCTGTCTGTCATGAAGAAATGGGAGCTCCTTGGAGTGCTTGGCTGAAGCATCCTTTATGCGCTGTGCCTCTGCCATGAGAGGAGGGCCCTGGAATGCACCGAAGTATGGCTCTGCTGGGCCTGGTCAGCTCAGCCCCAGACACAGCTGACCTCCAATGTTCCCTCCGGGGCCTGGCCTTGCAGCAGAAATGGGCATCATTCTGTGGGACAGCCTGGGCGTTGTTTCCAGGCAGATGTTCTAGGCAGGCCCTTCCTAGGATTAGGAAATAATATTGAGGGAATTTCCCACCCCACTGAACCCCTTGACCTGAAAGAGGAAATAAAACTCCCCAGCCTGGGAGCGTATGCAGTCTGAGTAGTAAATGTTTGTAGAAGCAGTGAGGGGCAATCTGTCTATTCAGTAAATGTTGATTAGACACACATTAGGAACAGCGTTGTGCTAGGCCCAAGGCGGGGAGGTCCTGAAGTCATAATTAGAGGCCAAGTCCAGCCCCTCGTTTCAGATATCACCCACTCTCATGAAATTGGGGAACACAATCTAGTTGGACAGATTGCTCTCATACAAAATAAAATTTAAGTACCCAAGAAAAAGTACAAGGTGTTAGGTGAGGTCAGAGGTCAGAAAGACTCCTGGAGAGGAGGTGTCTTGTCCCCTCAGTCTAACGGGAAGGTGGGGCTCTCCACAGACAGATCAGTTCAGATCTTGCTGTTTATTGGGTGTGAATGAGAAGCATCCACCTGGGTACATTTTTATACCTACATAAAGACTCAGTCTCAAGTAATTTCTTTTTACGCTTTTTTTTTACATTTCATTTTATTGATTTTAACATCAACAGTAATTTTAATACATAAAGAACAGGAAAGAAGATTGGTTAAAAATAGCTTCTATTATGTACAGTTTTTTAAAAACGCCTGTACTGTGTAACAGGGGTGGGGGTATGCTGGCTTTTTTTCTGAGTTTGGTGTATTGATGTTGCCAGCTGCTAGCCCTTTCCTCCCGTTCCCTTGTGACAAACAGTTAAGCAGAAGTAATGAGCCGGAGTCTGTGTGAGAGCTCAGAGCCACCTCTGTACTTCTACGCCGTCAGCTCTGCGAGAGAGAAGGCGAGGCAGTTTCGTCTTCCAAGTGGAGGCTTTTTCCAGGACACCTAGGTGCCTTGGATGGAGGGATGGAGCTGAAGGAGGCCCCTGGTGCTTGGCAGGTGAACACCTTGCTGTACTGTAGTGGCCAAACAGTGTTCATACGGGGCTGTGCATATGCACATTAGCAGTAGTTTCTTGGGTGGGGCCTTAGCATGGAATTCAGGGGTGAAATACAAATGTGAGCAGCCTTAGAAGTCGTTTGCCATTTCTACAAAGATGGATGTGAAAGGAATGGAGAGAATGAATATTCGATAGAACTTTCCTCTATGTTAGTTTCTCCAGTAATATTCTTGGCACAGAGGTGGGCGGCTCTGGGCGGGCCTGGTCCACTCCTAGGTACTGGGGCTGAGGCTGGACAAGCCTGAGGCTCCAATTGTTTCCCTGTGTGTTCCTGTGATTTGGAGCAAGCCCTGGCCACTTCTGAAAGGGCCTGGCCTTGGACGGCCATGAGCTCTGGGGAATCTCCCTTTCTCTCTTTCCCAGCAGGAAAAGCAAGGCTGGGAATAGTCCATACTTGTGGTCATGCCGTGAGCCCAGCGTTCAGGGCACTTCAGCCCTTCTGGCTAGACAGCTTCTGACTCCACAAGCATTTATTTGAGGGCTTACTGTGTGCCAGGCTCTGCACTCAGCCCTGGAATACAAAGAAAGACAAAAACATGGTCCTGGCCCTCGGGGGTGTATGTTCTGATGAGAGAGAAGGACATGCAAACCTCTGTGTCCGTACCAGGAAGATACAGTGCAAATAGATGGTCATCTTATGGGGATGTCAAGAGGTTCAGGAAAGCCTCTTGCAAGAGGTGAGATTAGAGTTGTCTTCCAGGAAGCTGGGCAGTCAGGAGGCTGAGGTGAGAAGGAAGGTGTGCTGGCCAAGGAGGTAGGAGATGGCGTAAGCCGGGGTCGCTAAATCATAGAGCACGTGGACTGGACGGGTAGGAGAGGGCCAGCAGGTGAAGGTCCCGTGCTGAGACTTGTCTGACCCCAGCCTCCGCCAAGCCTCGCGGCCTCGCTGCTGGCTCGTGGAGGTCATCTGTGGTTCCACTTCCCTTCCTGAGGCAGGGATGTTCTCCACAGCGTGCTCGACCAGCACTCTCCTGGCCTCTGCCCAGACGGGCGCTTCAGTGATGGGGGCTCACTGTGTGTCCCAGTGCATCACAGAAAACTTTGTCAGAAAGTCCTTCCTCCTGGCGAGCCAGCATCGCTCCGTCCCTCGGGGGTACAGCAGTGTTTATTCCCTTCCCACATGGCAGCCCTTCAGATATGTGAAGGCGGCGGTGAGTGCTGTGCTCACAGTTCTCGTTCCCCCTGTCGCTCCTGGCTTCCTGACCACCCCAGTGGCCGGGGGGGGGGGGCGCTGTCAGCGTCCCTTCTGAAGCGGGTGCCCAGAAGCAAGCACGTGATTAAGCCCTTTGTGGTCTGGCCCGTGCAGAATATTAAGGCTTTCATTGCCAAGCCCAGTGGCTGGCATGTAGTAGGTGTTTTTACCTATACTGCCTACTGTGTGGTGGGCACTGTGCTAAGCTCCGGGGTTGCAGAGACAAAAACCAATCAGTCCGTCTTTCAGGAACCTCACATCCTGGGGGGGGGAGAGAGATGGGACACAGAAGTGTAGGAGGGAGAGGGTTTGGGATCCTAATTCTAGCTCTGCCCCCTACTACCACCTGTCTGACTTTGCGTAAGTCCTTTCCCAGGGCCTCAGTCTCCTCACCCGTCAAATAAGGGTTGGACGACATGGCTTCTAGGGCGTCTTTCAGCCCTAAATCTATGGTTCTGCGAGACAGGACATACAAGATGGTACTCCGCATAACTTTGGGTGGGGTGGGGCATGTTGGCATGGCCTGTGATGGCATTATCTTTTCTACAGGTACGCCTCTGGGTGGAGTGGAATGGGCGATGGCTTAGGCTCTAGGACTGAGCCCCCTCAGCTGTGTGACTGGGCAAGTCCCCCCTCTTGGCCTCAGCTTGTTCATGTGTAAAATGGACATAAAAATGCTTACTCTGTGCCTTGAGATTGTTGAGAGGCTCTGCAGATGACAAGACAGTATACAAAAGGGAGCTGGGCCTCAGGGAGTGCAAGGAGGGGGGTGCTGGCTGGAGAAGAAAGACATGAAGAGGAGAAACATGGGAGGCTGAATGAGATCAGGAGCTAGAGTGAAGCCAACACGGGCTGCAGTGGTCAGGGAAGACTTCCTGGAGGAGAGGGAGAGAAGGCACACTGCCTGAGCAGTCTAGGCTCCAGGGTGATGAGAGGGGAAGAGCCCCCTCTGTAGTGGAGGCTGGTTTCTATTATGGGCTTGCATAGGGTGGGCTTGGGAGGGGACGGCCCCCCATAGAAGCCGGCATGGCAGAATCACTGGATGAGGCAGCTGGGGTCCTCCCTCCCTACCCTGCCCCTCCCACCCCACCGGGGGGCGGGGGGGTGTTCTGTCACTGCTCTCCTGGGTACCTAGACAGGCCTCCCAGGGGTTCAGAGCCTTCTGTGGGCTGAGTATCTGAGCATCTTTCTCACGGGACTGTATCCCACAGGGAAGTCTCCTCGTTTGGAGAATGGCAGTGGCCCAGCCTGGGCTCCTTGGGGAGAGCGTTCTGGCCGACGGCCAGAATGGCCAGAGTGCCTAGGTCCCGGGCCCAAAGGCAGTGGGGGCTGCGGAAGGAATGCTAGCTTGGGAACCAGAGAACCTCGGACCCTCCACTTCTCTCTGGGCCTCAGTTTCCCCACCTGCCAAAGGAAGGGCTTGAGGCTCTTTGTAGCTGCAATCTACAGTGGACACTTGCAGCAGAGATGGAGGAGTCCCAGCTCAGGGTCCTGGCCCTGACGTCCTGGGACAGTCCTGGTTTCAAGAAGGGAAAATGAACTTTCAGTGAAGCTGGGTAGTGGGGGTTCTGGTCAGACTGCGCGTCTTAATGTCTGGTTTGGAGAGGTCGGGCCCTGTCGCCCTAAGGGAGCTGGTCCAGTACAGAGCAAGTGTGGATCGTTGCCTCTGGGAAGCCAGAGACCTGAAGCTTTAACTCTGCTACTGCGGCTTCTGCAGGTACCAGCAGCCACAGCCACCGCCCCCTGCCTTCCCTGGCGCAGAGAAAGGTCAGGGCTATTTGGGGGCTGCTGCAGCCGAGGCTGACTCATTACATAATGACTCACGGGAGAATAAATGAATTTTAATTGGACGGTAAATTGAAAATTGGTGTTTTCCTGCCGGACCAGAGCTGCTTTGAATGGGGGTCGCCTGAGGGTCAGGGGACGGCTCAACTTGTCCATGGCTTCAGAAAAGGTACCTTAAGTGAACACTAGCTAGATGGGAGTGGGGTTGGGAACGGAGGGGAGAGAGGAGATGTAGAACCTGGGAGGAAAAGAAATATCCCTGAAACTCTACTTTTAGTCAGGAGTGTCTGACCAGTGGAAGAAGAGGCCAGACCTGGGGTCCAGATTCACACCCCTACCCTCAGCCTGAGCATGGACAGCTACTGGGGAGGCAGCAGATGGAAAGAGGCAGTGTGGGGCAGTGGTTGGAATAAGGAATCGCGTGAACAAGCCGACATTTATTAAGTGCCTGCTGTGTGCTAGGCACTGGAGAGGAAGGTCTTAGTTCCAGTCCTCTCTCTGACTATACTGGCTGTGTGACCCTGGGCAAGTCATTCATAATCTCTCAGCAGCTCTCTCTGTCTAGAGGGTATAGACAGATGATCTCCATAGTTGGGGGAAATTAACATACTGGGAGTTTCCTACATTGATGAAATCACAGGTCTGAGTTTAAAAAAGGTGTGTTCAAGGAGGAGGAAAGGGAATAAGCATTTATTAAGTGTCTAATGTATACCAGGCACTGTGTTAAGCACTTTTATAAACAATATCTCATTGGATCCTTACAACAACCCTGGGAGACAGGTACTATTATTACCCTGTTTTATGGTCGAGGAAACAGAGGCAGACAAAGGTTATGTGACTTGCCCAGGGTCACATAGCTAGTAAGTATCTGAGGCTGAATTTGAACTCTGGTCTTCCTGACTGCAGGTGCAGCTCTCTATCTGCTGCACCACCAGTTGCCTTTCGTCAAGTGGGCAGGCCCTAGGACCCCAGGTCCAGCACCCCATCGCTGTTCCTCCTAGCCATCCTGCACCCCTAGGGTGGCATTTCAAGGCTCCCTCGTGCCCCTCCAGCCTCAGCTCCCACAGACCATCAAACAGGCTCTGTTCCAGCTAGGCCTGTACACCCACCATGGGCTATGATTGTTCTTGATCGCCCTCTCTTTCTTATGCCAACCCCCAGAGTACCCTGCCCATTCTTTGGTAACAGTAATAATAATATTATTCCTCTGTCTCTGTCTTTCTGTCTGTCTGTCTCACTCACACACACGCACAGAGCACGCAGCATGTAAAGGTTTACAAAGCATTTTCCTAATAAGCACTGAACATTTTGTTTCGATTCTCCAGATGGGAGACTGTGGGGAGCAGAGGTCCGTGACTTGCGAGGTCGCCAGCTTCGAATGTCAGAGGCAGGATGGGAGGCAGCTGGCTCACACCTCCTCCGGGAAGCTCACAGCCCACGGACACCTCTCACTTCAGACTGGCTCCCACACTGTCTCTAAGTCACCTTTTCGTTTGTGGGAGCCTCGTGAGCTCCCAGAGTCAGGGTTAGGTATCCGCCTCCTTTGTGTCCCCTGCACCAGGACTGCTGAACTCGGGGTTGGGCACAGAGGGACTCCCCCGATATGTGCTGAGGAATTCTGTGAAAGGGAAGAGAGAGTC